AGATGTGTATAAGAGACAGGAGAGAGAGAGAGAGAGAGAGAGAGAGAGAGAGAGAGAGAGAGAGAGAGAAGCTTACCTCAGCAGTGACTGCCGGCACCTGCGATCACCATACCTGAAGGGCATCACAGTGCAGGTGAGGATGGTGCAGTGAAGAAGAAGTCATGGGAAGGGAGGAGGCTGTGGGGACAGGTGGATGCTTACGCCGTGTATGGTGGGAGAGCACCTATGTGATCGGACTCTCCAGAGGCGTCAGAGAGGGGAGGCATATAGCTTAGGGCTACAACTCCAATTGGTGTGGTGAGTTGTGGAGGTGAGAAGCGTGCTTCATTATCAAGAGACTTCAGTGTCCAGTGTGTTCTTGCATTGGTGTGCTCTCAGCCTTGTCATTCTGCCTTCAATTTGGTCCACTCATGCGTGGTCTTCATTGACTCTTCAACGAGTTGGGAGGAATTAGGCCTTCGGCTTTGCATGAAAGGCCCCTGCCCGTGCAGAAAAAGGCCATGCCCGCCTTGAGTGAAGCTGGGCCAGGAAATTGCAAGCCAGCCCTAAATGAAGCACAGCGAAAGAAAGAGGGGCACGGGCGGTTACCAGCATGCAGCATGCAACCATTGGAGCAACTGGTAGACACAGTCCACGAGTTGGTTACAGAGATTGGGCCTGCACATTCTTGCAGAAGGCCCCGGGCACAGGGTAAGGACGCAGGGTTGGCACGCGGCCTCTCCAGCCTTGTCGGCCAGCACAAATGAAGGCTGGTCGCCCAGCTAGAGACATTTTTGGGCATTGAGGCTGAGCGCCCGTGCTGATGGAGAGAGCCAGCCAGCGCCAGGGGAGGAAGCTGCTGCGGTGGCAGCGAGGAGGAATGAGGTGGGTGCCTGACATAGCCGGGTGGAGTTGCGGTGATCCTTGGGAGGGGGAGAGAGAAGGGAGGCAGTGTGAACGAGGCACATACCTGCTGTTGACGAAGGCAGGCTGTGTGACCAGAGTCCTCAAGCGGCATTGGGTGATGGACACATGGACCATTGCTGGCATGGAGATAGACTAGATGAGTAGGATCATAGGAAGTAGGAAGGGTGGTCAGCCAATAGGATGACTACATTGTCGTTGTACTGATGATTGAAGGCGGTGGAAGGACTTTCTTAATCAAGAGAATTCGTTGTCTTGCTCGTTCCTATTTGGTGTGCATTTCGCTTTGATTTCTGCTTTCAATATGGGTCAATTATGTCTGGTTTAATGTGAGATCTCACAATCTGGTTTACCGCTGCTGTCACTGCTTATTTCCTTGCAGAGTTCTTGCAGCTCGATTTTTTTTGGTGCTCACATGCTAGTTCCTTGCAACAATCTTTAAACAAAACACAAGTGGATGCCTGCTGCGTATGCGACGAAAGCCGCAAAACTTTTTTTTTTTTTTTTTTTTTTTGAGAAGTTTAATAGTTTATTAGATTAATCATTTATTGCAACAACAGAGTAGCCATCGAGGCTGGGGACCTCACAATTCAACCCGGATGAACCTGTTGGGGCCATACCCCATTCTGCTGTAACTGGAAACCGGTTCCAGTGTCCCATTTCTCTCTGTCCGTGAAACTTGCGGCGAAAGAAAAATGCAACCCGATTCCCAAGATCAGACACAGTTTGGTCCCTGGTCCGGGCCAGCAGCACCTCAGTATCCAGGGTATGGGCAGGTGTGGACTACAGTGTTCACCCGAATAGAACGCCCAGTCATTATAGCTGCTTTTGGTGCAACTTCCGGTCCAGATGCGGCGATAATGACCAGGAATCTGCGGGTGATACTGAGTCCAGCCGGTAACAGTCGGGTCATACTTCGGGCCTCGCTCCACTACTCACCACATGCGCAAAAGACGAAGTATATGGTGGTGTATCTTTCCATGGTCTACCTGAGGATTCATTCTTAAGACAAAAAACATGGCGATGTATGTTTCCATGTTCTAGTGGAATATTCATTCTCATTTTTTTGTGCATTTGGAGAGTAGTGGAGCAAGGCGCATTGTGTACTTCTATTCAAACATTCGGGAATCTTGGGTGCTTCCAAAAAAAAAAAATAAAAAAAAATAATAATAATAAAATCTAGGGTGCGTCCAGGAACACATGGCGCACGGAGAAATAGAAATGCACCCACAGGGAATCACCACGGGCACGCGCAGACACGACACACAGAGAAATAGAAACACACCTGTAGGGAATCACCACGTGCACGAGCAGAAATGCGGCTGTAGGGAATCACGACGGTCATGGGCAGAAACGGCCGGCAGAAAAATAGAAACGCGCCTGTAGGAAATGATGACCAGCAGAAAACGACAAAATGCACCTCCCTACTTCTAGGGTCAGATACATCTCAGCCAGAAAAGGGACAAAACGCGCCAGCGAATACCGCAGAGAAATACAAACGCGCCTCCAGGAAATCATGACCTGCAGGTCAAGAAAGGAGTGCTTCAGGTTCGGGATGTATGGGACTTGGACCAGTCTACTTTTCTGGACCTCACACAACTCAGAAGGAAGCTACCGCGGTTGCACAAAGTGAGTACCCACAGAGAGGCACTCATTGCAGCCATCCCCTCAAGCTGGATTCAGCAACTACAGCCAGACAGAGACCACCAAGCCACACCAAGCATTTGGAGGAGGTAAGGGTAGCTATTCGGGACTCCCCGCACGGGAAACAGATAGCTACCTTTCTCGGAGAAGCATCAAATTTCAAGGTAGAGCCTCTTCTCCATGGCTGGGAAGAGCACGTGAGGTTTGTCCCGTTAATTCAATATAAACCGAAAGTTGGAGTTCAGAGCCTGCAATCACGCCTAAAGAAAACGCCTACTTCAGTGGCCCTGCAACGAGCGGAATCGCACCAACTCAGAGATGCCACAGAACAAGGCCTCTCTCAAGTTTTTTTTTTGTTTTTGTTTTTTTTCCAAACAGAACCTTACGGTTCTGGCTCCTTTTCCATTTTGGGGAGCATCAGTCCGGTTCCTATTCCACCGGCAAGTCAGAAATGATTACAATGGGTACTCACACACGCTCCTCCCCCTTATGGTAGGAAGGCCCGAAAGACAGCATTGATTACTTCCCAAGGAAGGATGTACCACCCTTCACCCCTGCCTAAGTTAGGCTACTTGACGTACTCTTGGACTTGGAAGGCCTATCGGATTTTAGGACCTGTCTTGTAATTGCTGAGGGCCTATCTATTTGGGCTGATTCTAGCTTTTCCTCTCAGCTGTATGGCTGTCGGATCTGTGTGTATTGCTGGTAGAGCTAGTTCAGCCTTCATCTGCGCCATTGTCTATGACCCTGGTCTTACCTTTCTATGCACTGTAGTGCTCTTTAGCCTTAGACTGTGTTTTAGGCTTCTATTTTTAACAAGTTGCTTATCCTTCCAACGCTAAACCCTAAACCCTCATCCCTTGTCTACTTATGGTGGGGGGTATAGTGTCGGGGGAAGGACGTTGGGAGAGATGGGGAGCATAGTAGGTGCGGGACAGCTAAGTGGGGGTGGTATAATTCTTCGGTGGGGTGGGAGATGGAGGGGTGGGGGATGCTGGAGGGCATGTAAGACTGTCTGTACTTTTTTGTTTTTATTTTTCCGGGGAAGTGAGGTTGAGTGAGCGATGGTGCGGGGGCTGTGGGTGGGGAGAGACTGGGTTAGACGGTGTGATGTGGAGTGAGGGCGTTGGAATGAATGTGCAGGTTTGACTGTGATGGGGGATGGAGTGTTGGTGAGGGGTGAGGTGGAAACGTGTTCTG